AGGAAAGGACAGATTCTGCCATTAATTTCAGGAAAGGATGTGCCATCATCACCCTTCACAATGAAGGGTCATGATGCTGATGATGATTATCACACACTTCAGATACCGTACCCTGACTCATGGCTTTCAAGAGGACGGATTCAAGAATTACTGCTCCACAGCTCTCGGCTTTTCTCCCACACAAAACGTAGGTTGGCTTCTAATTACAGATTCTTCTACATGAGACCTTTAGTTTGGACTTGCTATGCTCTGTTCATTCACTTTTGAGGGGGGCTTCCACATAAAGATTTCATCCAATCACTATCATCTTGTCATTTTCCATAAGTTATTCATTCAAAGTTCAGACAGAGATCAGAAAAATGGAAAACTCACATGTTGCCCATAAGCATGACTCTTCTTCCTTTTCTAAAGGGATAGGGGATTAATGTAGGAAATAACGTATCAGAAAAGTCAACACTTCCCAGCACAGCATGTACTCATTATATGGTGGTCCTGCTGCCTGAGCAGCAGCTCCTGTTGTTAACAACTCAGAGTTCTGCCCTCTCCCTACTCATGGGGGTAGGAAATACTCTTCCACGTATGCACCTATAGAACCACAGGTATCCATATTGCATGCCCAGAGCTGTATACAACACAGAACCATACCATCTTGTCCCTTCCCACACTGTGCATAGTATGCATTGTAATGTGCATGTCCATGCATACACATGCACACACACGCACACACAACATGGTGCACCAAATGGGTGAGCAAACCATTCATCATCGCAGGAGGAGGCAGCAGCAACACCTCCACACTGTCATCGCAGGAGGAGGAGGCAGCAGCAACACCTCCACACTTTCCCTTTGTCATGGGTTAAAGAACTGGAGCTGGGGATTGGCTAGAGGGAGGAAGCTGGAGCTGGTGGCCGCAGACACACCCTTGTAGGCCACCAGAGGAGGCACAGAAGAAGGAGCAAGCCACAGCAAAAGTAGTTTCCCACCTTTCTTCTTTCCGATAGATTTTAGGACGGTTTTTGAAAAAATGGCACTGACAATTGTATTGGCCATCCTCCCAGGACCTTGGCGCTGTGAAACCCTCAGGCATCATTGAAACACTCAGTTCTACACAGGGCCAGCTTCTGGAGGTATTTGGTTGGGTGCTGGGTCTTTCTTCTGTGTCTGGCGTTGTGCAGGTGTGCCTTGACCACTACCAGCACCAGGTTCCTCCCAGCTGGCATCCCTGTCCTTACTCCCTGGAGTCCTATAGTGAAGGAAAGATTCTGAAGAACTGAGCATTTTAGAAATAGTCCAGACCTGCCAGGTATATTGACTTGCCTTGTCCTCGTACACACTAGTGCTATTGGAGGTATAACATTCACCATCTCAGAACTGTTTTCTATAGACAGGCATTTTATATAATTGGTATAGATACCTTTTTAAAAAGAGCCAATTTGCCATGATTGTTTTTTCTGTTAATGCTATGGATGACAAACTAGCACAATTTTTTTTACTGACAATAATAATATTGATTAGCAGCTTTACTGATCTTTACTGGCAGGTTGATATATTTCTATTTATTATTTTCTTGGGGCTTTTTATAGGGCACTTTCATTTTTGTAACTCACTACAAGACCCTTTGTAACAGAAAGGTGATGAATAAATTTATAAAATGAAGAACCCTAATAGAACTAAAGGCAGAGCCTTGCCCGCCACCTGTTTAAATCATCATATAATATGCAAAAAGCTTTGCCCTTCTTTTATAGAAGAGGCCATAACTTGCTGTATATGAATGGTTCTCAACTTTTGGAGCTCAAGTGCTTGTTTTATTACATGACCCAATAAAATAGCTATAGTGAAGTGATGACTCTGCCTTCTCACCCTTTCCTTTCTCCTTTTCCCCCACGTGATTATGACACAACCTTCCATTAATTGCTTTACGTTACATTATGTATAACTTGCCATCCATAGACTTTGGTTCAAAACAAGTAGCTTAGGTTTCTGAAGCTGCAGTCCTGAAAGATATGGAAAACAAGGTCCACTGAAACAGTAAATGTGGTTAGGACCGGTCTTCAGAAGTAAATTGCTTTACTCAGGATCGTTTTACTCAGGATTTTAAAGATGTGCTTTATATGATTTTCCAATGTTCTAAGTGCCCACACCCCTACTCCCTATATACTGAGGCCAGTATGCTTTAAAAAAACACTAGGCAGTTATTATATAGGTTTACACATAGAATTTAACATAAAAACATAATACGAAGCTGAATTTTCCTACAGCATAATTAACTTTATACACTTAAAATAAAAACTAATTTTTAAGATTTCAGGGTTCTCTTCCTTTCTTCTCTCTATGGCTTCACTGAGTGTATTACATTGAGTGTACTACAATGCATTTGCCAGAAAAAAGAAAACCCATGAGCCGGAAGAATTCACTATAATGTCACAGGTCCCCTCAATTTCTGTTCACTAACTAGTGAGATGAAAGTTTTCTGCTCTTGTTCAGATGAACATTATTTATATGATGCTACATGATACACAGTTGAGGTTATAAAAGTTTTGGCAATCGTGCACCCTAGGTCAGCTTACGTTTGCTGCAATTAATGAATTCAGGTAAGGAAAGAAGGGAGTAGTCTCTACTCTGTTCCATGATGGCAAACTGTACAAGTTAGTTATGTGTCAAGTCGGAACTGAGTTATAGTGAGTAGCAGAGTGATCCTGCTTTCAAGGTAGGTGAGATATTTAAAAAGTGGTTTTCCCCAGTTCCAGTCCTCCAGGGAGCTTCCATGGCTGGATGGGGATTCGAACCCTGGTCTCACAGGTCTCATAAATCCTGGATGGAGATTTGAACCCTGGTCTCACAGGTCTCATAAATCCATGACTGCTGTAGAAGATGAATATATAAGTCAGGAAAAGGCTGAAATGATTCTTTTGCATCTAACCTTACCTCTGGGTAAGGCTGACGATCAAACCCAGAGGAAATTTTTGTATTCTCCATTTGTACAGCAAAGATCATTACACGGCTGGTGTCTAAATTCTTTCCCTACACTTCCTTACTTTCTAATGGTGCTGAAAAATATCAAATATTGGTAAATATTGATCAAATGTACACCTTGCTGTTCCACCAGAAAAATACTTCGGGGCAAGTACTTTGTGAGACATATATTTGTGAGGGGTGTTGGCAGTCTGTGTATGTCTCTCTCTCTCTCTCTCTCTCTCTCTCTCTCTCTCTCTCTCTCTCTCTCTCTCTCTCTGTACCACCAGAAAAATACTTCGGGGCAAGTACTTTGTGAGACATATAAGAAATGTAGTCATTCTCAGGCCAATTATGCTGGAACTACATTGGGGTAAGCATAAGTAGATCACAGATTCAGTATAATGCATCAAATTCTTATGCATGCATTATTGGAATTGGACTGAGGTCAGCTAGCTCCTTATAGGACTACAACTTTAGTGACAGATGCTATATCCCTTCCTTGTCATCTGCAATCACCTTAACTGTAAAGGTAAAGGCACACCTTAGTGGATAGCCATTTCCTGCTCCTTTTCTTTGGTTGGACATTACTGCATTTGGTAGTAGTGATTTCCAGAATCTAGTTGAACTCTATACTGGACAAAGTTGCTCTTTTTTGATTACTTCATAAATGTCATGTGTTAATTTCATCTGATGGCTCTGGTTCTAGTTCAGGTAGATGAAAGCATGTATTGTAGTAAAGCATGCCTTGCTTCTTTCTCTACTACTATCAAATGTTTATGGCTTTACAGAGCTCTAGCATATTATTTTCATAATATTTTCCCCTATATGTTCAGATTTTTCTTATATAAAATCCAGGTCCTTCATAATTGTTCTTGCTTTCCGCTATTTCCCCCTTCTGCCTGAATGCAGATATCCCCAAGAACTAGCAGTAATAATACACCCCTACACTCATCTTCACACAATCCACTCAGCAAGTACTGTGCTATATTTAAAATGAAGGAGGTGATCTAGATTTGGTTAAACCCAATGGCCCAAGTGTTCCTTCTCAATGAAAATCCAGATTTGTCAGGGCGCTTTCACAAGTGACTCTAAAGCTGCACTCCTAAATGATCTTGTTTGTGAGGGAACGTGACTCGGTGGATTTCCCATCAGAGGACCCAGGCTTGGGTGGAAACACTTCTCAGCCTCGACTGCCTTTTCACACTAGTTATCAAAAGGCACCTCTGAGCTGCGCTGGGGATTCTCGGGCAGGGCGAGGATGTGGTTCGTGCAGAGTTGCAAACGGGTGAGAAATCAAATGTAACTTGTAACCAGTGTAGGTCTTCCTTCACGAGAACCTCACAGCCTTTCTCTGTTCTCCAGGCGGACACCGTTAGGCGAAGGCACAATGCAGGGCGTATAAAGCGCCGGCATCTTCTTTCCCCCACGTAGGGTTTCCCCTTGGCCTGACCGATCTGTTCCAGCCTCCCTTCTTAAAACACCTCTCTCCCGTCCGCGTAGGAGAAGCCCCTTTGGAGCGGAAGGGAAGACGGGGGGGGGCAGGAAGAGCGACCCCCCGACTTCCATAAGCCTTCCTTGGGAAACCGGCCTCGGTCCCAGGCCGGCGGCACTGTGCCGAAGTTCCCAGCCCTGCTCAGCTTGAGCGGCGGCAACCAGCCGGATGCCAAGCGGAGCCCCCCCCCCCGCGGCCCCCTTTCTCCGCTCCTGGGCAAACAAACTTCATCAGGCGGGGCTCCTTGGTGTGGGGGGGCTCGTCCCTGAGCAGCTGTGCGTCCCAGCTGTGGACTCCATTTCCCAGGCTTCCTCCCTGCCCTAATGTATTCCGTTCTCAGGCCGGCTCGGTGCCTCTGCCTCGCCGGGCGCGCGTGTGTGTGTATGTGTGTGTGTGCGCCTGTGAGCGAGTGTGTGTGTGTGTTCGAGAGCGAGCGGGTGTGTGGGTGAGCGAGCGAGCGAGCGAGCAGCTAGGAGTCCACCAGAGAGTGGAGGCTCATTCCCTGATTAGAGGCAGGTTCGAGCGGCCGCGCTGCGCCTCCTCGGGTTCCCCGCCGCCGTGCCAGGCTCTCGCTCACTCCCATGCTGGCCGAAAGCGCCTGCCTACACGCGCCGGGGTTATTAGCACGTCCGGCTCCGGTCCCCACGCCCCGTCTCCGGCTCTCGCTTTCCCCAGCCTGAAGCCCACGGGGGACGCCACCTCCCGACCCGCGGCATTTCTACGGTGAGTAGCGCCGGATCCCAGGGGTGCCTCTTTTAAAAGCCAGGGGTGCTGCGTTTGGGGTTGGGTGCCCGTGTCTGCAAGCGCGCGTGTTGATCTAACTTTCCAGGAAGGGATCGCCGGCTGTTTTGATTCCGCTCCAGGTCCCGCTACTTTAAAAACGCACACACATACACAAAACAACAACAACAACCCGAACTTCCCCGGCAAAAGCAGCGCGGATGCTTCGGAAAGTCAAACTTCGCAAGTTTGGCTCTCTGTTTCTCAGAGCGCGCCGCTCCCCAGTGCAAAGTTCTAACTGAGGCAGATGCTTATCGGGGTCCGGGGGTGGGGATGTTGGCTGTGTGTGTGTGTGTGCGTGTGTGTGTTTTCTGTGTGTGAATATTAATGAGTATGCATTTAAAAATCAAATCGATCGGGTGGCCCCCTCCCCCTTGAAGAGGAGCCCTGATCCCGGGACACTTCTCCTTCTGCGTTTGCTGTTTGTTTTCCTACGGAGGGGAGGTCGGAAACAGCTCGGGCGGAGACGGGGAGGGGTTGGCATCAGGTGCGGGGGGAGAGGGAGAGAAGCCTTGCAAAACACAAAAACTGCGTGTTTCCAATTAACAAGAGCAACACTTAGAAATTAAAAGTCTGTATGGCGGGAGGGGGGTGTTGTATAATCCATGTGGCAGCCACGGAGGTACTTCCCGGCTTTCTATCCCAGCGCCTCTTGCACCATCAACGCAATTTCCCTAAACAAATCCAAAGCGGGGGCGGGCGGGGGCACTTTGTGGAACGAAACAAACAAACCAACCAGTTCATTTTCCACGTAGTTGAAACAACACGTGTATTATTTTTGCGCAAAACTCAGCCATCGCTTGAAATTCGTGATTTCCCCAGCGCTCTGAGCGACCTTCCCGTGCAGCCGCCATCGGGGCCCCCTCTCCCCAAAGCCTGGAAGCTTTCGCTTTTCCTACATACAGATCGGGCGCGCGTGTGAACTTTGATTATTCGAAATTACGCGATCGTAAGGGCGCAGTACTTTGCGCCTGTTCGGCTTCCAGTCCATTCCCCTTCGGGCGCTGGTTGCGAAGGTGTAAGATGTCCAGTTTTGGCGGAACCGTGGAAGTTGAGACAAAAAGCTCTCCCCTTCGCCTGCGTGGTCTGGGAGATGAAAAATCTTGCGCGCCGGCATGTTTGGAATTATTCCTGCCGGGAATAGCAAAGCCCCCGTTGCGCCTGTTAGGGTCAGCCGCCGGTGTAGCCAGCGAACAGCCCAGCCGGGTTGGGAACCCGCGGCCGGAGGAAGGAGCAGGAAATGGGATCTGCATGTTTACCCGGCTTCCTTTAGCTAAACTTTCTGCTGCACCTTTTCAGCCCAGGAGCCAAGAAACGGTGAGCTTTTGAAATAAAACAACCGCAGCCGCTACAGCCGGACTGGAAAATCCGGACAGAGGTGGCAGGAAGAGGAAATAACTCCTCACCATCTCGAATGCATCGAAATACATTTTTAAAATACACACGCATCTCTGCTCCGGGACAATGCCATTATTCGGCAGTGTCCTGTTCAGTAGTTTGCATGGATTCCTTTCGCCTTCCAGGCAGGAAATGTGCAGGGAAGGGATTGTTGCAATAAAATTCGAGCAGCTCGAGTCATCCGCGCGTTGGATGAGCTTTGTTCGCTGTTTTTTTTAAAAAAAGAAAACGAGCCCTGAACGGGGCTCCACAAAGAGAGAAGGAGGCGGGCATCCTCCCTCTGCCCCCACCGGCACATATTTCCTGGAAGGAGCAAATATCTCGTTTTCTTTCTAAACCTCTGAGCTGGTTTCGCACTTAATTTTCGTCGGTACCAAACTCTTGGAGGTTTTTTCCCCCGCCCTAAGGGACCAAGCGGGACAGGGCGGACACACGGCAGGGAATTACTTTCCTTATCCTGTACTTTCCAAATGCCCTGCTGAGATTTCCTTCTCCCACTTGTTTGTTATATTTACTACTGTGGGGAGAAGGCTGGGATCTTCTCCCCCACGTCTCCGTTTGCTTCCCTCGAAAGGGTGTTTATATATATATATATATAAACACCCTTTCGAGTGAATCCTTCGGACGGTTTTTTTTTTGCTCAGTTTAGAAACCCAGAAAAGACAAACACCTGTTTTGATTTCCAACTGCAGAGAGCAAGTGCGGGTTTATTATTTTCCTCCCGTTAAATTAAATCCGGGTTTGCTTTCTGCTTTGTAGGGAGTCGGAAGAGTTTGTCGGGATAAACATTTAAGGTCCAAAGCTACTGTGAATGTTTTATTATTATTATTCCGAGAACAGGAAAACAAAGTCGGAATAGTTAAGCTTTCTATTTTTTCCCCTTCAAATCTGACCATTTCATGCCGGTTGAGGGGCCCTTCGCGTAAGTGGGGCGGGACGGAAGGCTCCTGGCAGGCGAGAGGATCAGGGGCGGGTGGCTTTTTGCCGTCTGCGCATCTTTTGTGGGCTTCGACTTCTGCGAGCGGTTTTTGAAAAGTTGGGAAAAGATGGGTCTTTTCCTTTGTGGAAGCCTATGTGCACGTGAGCATTTCCATTCTTCCTCTGTATCACCCTCTGCCCCAGGTCCCCGTGGTTTAATTCCGATTTGCCCTTTTTTTTAATCCTTCGGGGTGGGGGATTCAGGTAGAAAGGGAGCGAGCCAACGCGGCTTTCTTTGTTTTCTTACGAAGGGGCCCAATCCACCATCCCACGCTTGCAAAGAGATCTTCATATTTTCTGAAGTCACACTCTGTGGCCCCGAAACGGCACCGCTCTTCCACCTCCTCTGCTCGCTCCCGCATTCTCTTGCAGTCCGCTTTGCACAGCCACAACTAACAACAACACATCCTTGATACTTAGCTGCAGCAAATGAAAACCTATAGAGTTTCTCAGCTTGGCTTTGGGCTCTCTCCTCCTGCTTCTTCTCTTCGATCTTGCATTTGTTTAAATTCATTAGGAGGAAATCCCTTTTCGTTCAAAATACATAATCCACTTGAATACTTTAATCTCCAACAGCTGGGATGGTTTTGTTTTATAGTGTCAGGATTTCCTAACCTGGAATATACTTTTAAATTCCTCTTTCTAATATTATGTGATCACAAAACAACAAGGGATCTAACCTGAAACATCCAGCCTCTTTTCTCACTCTCCTACAAAACAAAACAAAACAAAAACAAAACAGTAAAGGGTTTCCTTAGTTTAAAAATTTTCCCCTCTCTCTTGGCAAACACGATGTTATTTTTTCTTCCATTTTAATTTCTGACATTTGGAAGTAATAGAGGTAAGACCACAGAAATGCAACCTGTTTTGGTCAACTGGGTTAGGTCTTGTATTTTATTAAAATAAGCAGAAAAGTACTTTACACAAGGTACTTTTACAATGTTTAGGGATTAATTACTTCTATACTTCAAGATGTATTTTGTGCTAATTAATAAGTCATCACCTGAAGCTTGGGACGAGTTCTGTTTTATCCACTATCATGTCATGGCCGGGAAAATGGATGGTCATTTTTGAATAACGTTAGCCCAGTTTTCTTTTTAGAATATTACTTTCTTAGGTAGCTAAATGTAGCATTATAATAATAAATAGAGAACTCAAAAGTTAAGTTAGGTATCACACTCAGCTCTCCTTCTATGATGTAAATTTCCTTGTTATGGATCAAGGCTAAACCTTTTCATCCAGATTGTCTGAGTCTCTTACTTCACTTGGCATTTAAGTAAAATGCATAAATGAGAGGTAGCTTTAAAATGAATATTTTTTCTCCATAAAGTGGAGTGGCAATTTGGAAGATATTAGTAATTAGAATATGTTTTGGGTATGTGTACATTCATCTAATCTGGATACCCAGTGGACAGTTTATGTAGCTTCATAGATTTATCTCCACCCCCTTGGCCTCCTCTACTCCTTGTTTAGTTAATTTAACAAAGACTTTTTGCAATCTGTTTGGAGTTTGTCTGATGCCATGGAAAAGTATCTGCTGATTTATTTGGTTGCTTTTCGATTTCTGTCGCTAGACCGTCTTTTCTCTTCCTTTCAGCGAGGATGTCAGCTGTTATTACTTCCTATTGATCCCTTTGCAAAGTGAGAAGTGAACTAAAATTAATGTCAATTCCACTGCTTGGATCAATAGCTGGAGTTATTTTAATCTGGATTTGCACAGGGCGCTAAATTAAAAAAAATCAGCATAGAGGCAGAAAAGTAACAGTTACTTACTCTGGCTTTGCCTGCTCCCTTTCCAGTTACCCAAATGTTTCATCAGGCTGCTTATCCTGCAATCCATATTTTTTTAATTAAGCAGGTCAGTTGGTTTTCTTATTTTGGGTTCCATATTTAAAAACCAATGACATTCTGACATTGGGAGTGTATTAACTATAGATTTTCATAATGACTGGTCTTGCCGCAACGTCATCTATACATGTTCCTAATGATGGTGGTGATAGGGAATAATAGTGTGGGATGATAATAGTAGCGGAAGAAGGAAAGAGAGAAGGTGAACATGAAAAAGCAGAAGTTTTTTTTAAAATAAACTTGGCATGGTGCATTATTGTAATCTGTTGATTTATTTGCTGTGTAATGAACTTTGCGAAAGAATAAGGCAGTTGGAATGATTCACACTATCCTACAAGGAATGTCAAGTGTAGTTTCCAGATTACTAATTTATGAAATACATTTAATGTAATGAGGTGACAGTGCAAGTAAAAAATAGAAAAGCAGGCATAGAAGCATTAGTAGCAAATTCTCAGCCCTCCCCTCATTTAAAACCTAGAGACAATGCTTTACCATCAGCCCACAGGTCACTTTGGCTATTAATAGTGTATTTACCTGGCTGAGTAAGTTTCTGCTTTTAAAGTCAAGCGAAAATAAATATCCAGATTTCTCACCCCTCCTTCACTAGTCATTGCCTTTTTGATTTTATATTTGTTTTCTTGTTTTCTTTGGTAATCAGTTATGCAAAAAGCAGCAAGAGATGATTGCCCCAAAGAATGCTCACCAGGCTTCCCTGGGCATCTTTCTGTTTATGGCTAGAACTTGACATAAGTTCATTTAAAAATTGGAAGAAACTAAACAATGTTAATGTAAAACATCTAATCTGGTAATTCAGCACGGATTTGTATTGGAAAGGAAGCCAGATGAGGAAGAGGTGAGATGATGCCCACTCATCGTTGCACTTAATAACAATCACTGAACATCTGGGTACAGGATGAGAGAAAAGGAAATGTTATTGCTGGACTGCATGAAAGGCGCAGCCAAGATTCCATAGAGTTTGTTAACCTAGGCTTGCTCATTCACAGAATACAAAAGCCACTCCATTAGAAAAGAGACTCTTTCAGTAAGTTTTATTTGCTATGTCTGACCTTCTGGAACTAACAGGCACATTTTGTAGCAGCTTTTTTATTATATGATTTTTTGTGGCCTTTTAAGTGCCACAAAGCTAGTATATTGTTTTAAAGTAACAATCCTCATATATTAAAGTACACGGTGGCATTCTCTATGAATGGCTATAGAAGTTTATACACAGAAAGCATTTTAGGTTGGTTATGAAGAACAGGTTGAATGAATTCTCGTTTTAACTCTAGAAAGGGCTAGAAGGAAAGTTTAGTTTATTATTTATACATAAAGGTATACATATATATTATATAGGATTTTTGTTTTGTCAATGCTAACTTCTCAATTTTTAAGGCACTTCAAAGAAAAAAAATAAGCTTTGAAATTTCATTTTGAAAATCTTTAAATATTAATGACACATCCATGACAATTTACAAACCTACTTAAGAATGAGCCGATTAGGAGGAAATATAGTGATCCATTTCGTGGTATTCTCATCCTAAAAAGCAGATGCTTATGAAAAATCAGATGGCACAGGCACTAATTCTGAATTTAAATATCGTCAGAGTCACCAAACACTTTATGGATGAAGCTATTGTTGTTTTCCTTAAAAGGGAGGGGAGAATGTAAGAATAAAGAGTGTTTGCCATGAATGTAAAATCCATAATGTGTACCTATCTGCACAAGTACTGTAAATGTGTACACGTTTCTGTAACAGAAAACAGACACACCATCCACATTGTTTATGCATTCACAGATTCTGTAAATACATGTACCTGTGTTCATTTGTAAGGTGTGAATAATTGATGCATTATTTGTTCTACTGGTAAATTCATTTCTCTGTTGCAAGCCTGTAAAGTTACCACCCAAAGTTTTCACTGTTACATGATATTTTTTCCTTGTGATATAGTGCTTTTCTCTGGTAGGAGTCAGGTAATTTGCTTTTCATTTGCTCATCTGGTACAATTATTGGTATATATACGGTAGCTCTTTGTCAGAATCTGATATACTTCTTCAGAGCTCTTTAGTCCCTTCCACCCAGATCTGAAAATGCTTTGGTGCCTTTGCCTTCTGCATCATGAAATGTAAGCCTTTTGGGAGCAGAAGGAGAGAAAAGTGAGCCCAGAGCATATTGCACTGTTTGTGCAAGAGAATGTTGTTTGTTTTTTCTATCTCTGGGGGTCTTCTCTGGAATTTTAAGCTTGGTGCTAGAGTTGTGACTTGAGCATAGGAGATAGACTCCTGCAGCCACACCCTTAGAGGGAGTCAGAGACCCTTCCAGATCCTTGTGAACTTGCCTTTTGTTCTGGATCTGGCTTGAACAGTTTTCTTGCTACATTGAGGAGAGAGAACTGCCCCAAACTGACTGACCCAGTTTGTTTGTTTTCCCTTGCTTCCCCCTCTTATTTCCCCCCACAGCTTCTGGATGGCGACGAGGCCCCAGTAACATCCTCCAGCTCCACACCCAGACATTGCTTTGTTTTTCATCCAGGGAAAACCATTTCCCTTGCGGCCCTGTCGAGGAAAGAGACTCCGATGGACTTACACCGAGCAGCCTTCAAGATGGAAAACTCCTCCTACCTTCCCAATCCTCTGGCATCTCCAGCCCTGATGGTTCTCGCTTCCACTGCTGAAGCCAGCCGTGACGCTTCCATCCCCTGCCAGCAGCCAAGGCCCTTCGGTGTCCCTGTGTCGGTGGACAAGGACGTTCACATCCCATTCACCAATGGTTCCTATACGTTTGCCTCCATGTATCACCGGCAAGGTGGAGTGCCAGGAGCCTTCACCAACCGTGATTTCCCACCTTCTTTGCTGCACCTGCACCCCCAGTTTGCTCCCCCCAATCTGGACTGCACCCCAATCAGCATGCTGAACCACAGTGGGGTTGGGGCCTTCCGTCCCTTTGCCTCCACTGAGGACAGGGAGAGTTACCAGTCAGCTTTTACACCTGCCAAGCGTCTGAAGAACTGCCATGATACTGACTCTCCCCACCTTCGCTTCTCAGATGCTGATGGCAAGGAGTATGAGTTTGGTGCTCAGCTCCCTTCTGGCTCTCCCAGCTCCCTCAAAGTTGATGACACAGGGAAAAAGATCTTTGCCGTCTCTGGGCTCATTTCAGACCGGGAGACCTCATCCAGCCCTGAGGACCGAAATGATAGATGTAAGTACCTCAACTTTGCTTAGCTGGGCCATAGAAATATACTCAACAGGTGTGGTCTATAATGTTAGGAGGTGCGAAAAAGACACATAATATGTGTGGTCCTATTTTTCCTTAGGAGGTTGTTGATTGGAGAGAAAGGTGGATTGAGGGGGATCTGTGCATCAGTACTGTCCTTTTTATTGTAAATAAGTATGATGAACACAGAAAAACTGCCAGCCTCACAGAAGAGGGAGGAGAATTCTGTGTTTTGAGGATCTTGGCACCCTCATGAGATACACACAAATATTTTGTTTCAGGGAGTATATCTCTTTCTCACAGAATATTGCCAGACCTTTTTTAAAAAACTTCTCCCTCTAATCCTTTTCCTCACATATGCCCATTCTCATCGCCATATGCTGCTCAGAGGTGAATTTATTGGATGGTTAACTTAAAAACTAATGTCATGCCTATGAACAAAGTGGAAGAAGAAAGAGAACGGGTGACAATCAAAGCAGGCAGAACAAAATAAATGGGTAGAGGTATTTTACCCCTATAGGTTTGCAAATCTGGCAGTGAGATTATTTTGCATAGACCACCAGCCAAGTTGAAGCTGGCCTGCACAAGATCCACTCGAGGAGTGGTGCCTGTTGCAGTGTTCCTCGCCCACATCAGATCCCTTTCCTCATTAAGAGCCATGAGTGACCCTGCTGTGGGAAAAATGGACCAACCAGCACCCAGCCTAAAAAATGGAAGAGTGTTTGGATTGTATTCATCTTCAGATTCAGGTGCACAGATTAGATGCTGAGTCCCCTTCCCCATTCTTCTCTTTGTTTTTGGGTAGGTAGCTGGAGAGGGGAAGAGTCTGTGATTTTTCTAAAACCCTGAAAAGTTTCCCACTTTCCCCTTGGATACCATTTTTCTTTTCTTCCTTTATGATGCCAAGGAGAGTAATAGAGACATTGTTGCTTTCTCTCCCCTGTCGGTGCTGCTTCCTCAGGCTGTCTCCTTGAATTAGGCACTGTGTTAACTTCCAAGCGCTACGAGGCATCTGCCGAAAGCCCGCATACCTTGTCAATAAAAGTCACCATAAAATCAACCTGCCTTGTAAATCCATCGCTCTTTGGTTTTGAAATATGCCATGAGTGTGTCTTTTATGTCAACGTTTGTAAGTGTAGAATGATTCCCTCTTGAAGACAGAAGCTACATGTTGCACTACAGATGTGTGCTCTGTTCTCACCTAGTCTGTCTTTAAAGTGTATTAGAGCTGCTTGTATGGGTTTTGTGCATGTATGTCTTTGATACCTGAGTGTAACAATGGTGTGTGTGTGTGTGTGTGTGTGTGTGTGAGAGAGAGAGAGAGAGAGAGAGAGAGAGAGAGAGAGAGAGAGAGAGAGAGAGAGAGAGAGAGAGAGAGAGAGAGAGAGAGATATTAAAGGGGCGATATTACCACAGGTTAAAAAGAAAGGATAGATAATTTTTGCCTTGAATAGTGATACTGTATAATTCAGAAGAGTGTAAATTGCCTATTTAAATATAACTTATCTCTGGATGTGAAACACACCCAGGTCATGCATATAGAAAGGCAGAAATCTAAAAAAGGTTGACCCATTATTTAAATATGCTTAGATTATAATGAATGTTGCTAACTTCCATCTGTTTTGAAGGGGCACAAGGAATTTTATTTTAATTGAGAATTAATTAATGTTAATTGAGGTGGTGGTCATAAATATATTTACACAGACATATCTTTTTCCATTTTTCCTTACTGCATCTCCAGTCCAAAAGCTTTTCCTTTTACTGATTTGCTCTTACAGGTTTTGGTGAATTCTCAGGTAGCAAAGAGGTGAGACACATTAAAATATGACATCTAAAGATAAGGGCGTATATAATGTATTTTAGGAACCAGAAAATCAGAATAAAAAAAGTGTAGGTATCGCAAAAGAGAAAGTTTTCTTTCTTGATTTTCCTTTCATTGCCAGGAAAAATAAATATAAATTAGTTTGAATGTATAATACTCTCATGGGAGCAAAGCTAAAGCTGACTTGGTGCCCAACAGGCCTAGGTAAAATAGAACATATTGGAGACTGATTAGGTTAAATATTTACTCTCATCTAGTTAAAACTTTATTTTAACTGTCAAAGGGTTTAGAAGCATTTTATTGAAATGTTATCTTGATATATATGAATGTATGTATGTGGAGAGGGGAGAGATTGAGCATAGTTACTTCTAGTTATGACCTTCAAATATCCTTTATCACATTTAAATATTATTTTATACAACATATATTGCTAGCCACTTCATTATGTTACACAGAAGCATCATGCATGCTTTACACGTGAAAGATTCTTTGTCAGTAGTTGTCTGAGGGCTGACATAGTGACTCCATGAACAGAAGGAATGCACATATATTTGCATGTATGTAAATGTGTCTTAACGGTCTTTTATAAATATCTAATTGTTGACGTTTAAAAAGCTGTCTCCATTTCCTTACATAAATAGTATATACAAATGTGTCTGTGAAACAGGGATTCTTTTCATTGCCACTGTAACTTATATTTCAGAGAAACAGTAGTATAGACAGGCTAGTTGGCAAAAGTGTATTGATGGGAGTTGTAAAAGCCATCAGATCAGCAACCCTTTATTTCTCTAATAGACATCCTACAGAATTGCTGGACTCCACTGTTTATTTGTATTCTACCAAAGACTGCAATGGAATCAGACCACATGACGGGTGAATAACTTTAATTGCAACACAGAAAGTCTTGGTGTGCCACCAGTAGACTGTATTCCTTTTCCCCTCTCTAATTTCAGAGTTGGATTTCTCACTAACTGGTTCTTATGATCTCAAGAAAAATAATGCAATAAAAAAGAGAAGTTAATGCTGGTCGAGGGTGGTAGGATGTTCATGTTAAAAAGAAATCAGAAATGCTGCCCAAGATGCTTGCAATACTAATGGGATCTAAAGCAGGGAAAATATGTCTCTCTATAGATACAGATGTCGGTGCCTCATGTTATTAATTGGATACTAACTAAGAATGATACTTTGTGTGTTTAGATTCCCATGAGGCTGGATTTTTACCTTAGATAATTAGTGGTGTAAATCTGGATTGATTCCCATATCAATCCAGATTGGAAGTCATTTAGAACTCATATTGGTGTAATGCAGTTTTGGGTTCTGCTTCCAGAATATGTATAGAACCCTTCAGAAATTGCATAATGAACTTTAACAATTTTGTAATTTTATAGGTTTTACATTGTACAGATATATAGTTCTACCCTACATGAATGACAAAAATTAACGAGAAGTGTCACATGCAGTGTCACATGTTTACCAATCCTTATTTTGAGTTATTTTATTTGTCCTACAAAAAATAAACATAACATTGGTTTTTCATACATACAGTAAATCAAAATGCTCTAAAATGTTAGTGTTATTGTAAAACTAGTTATATATATATATAATAGTGTGTGTATGTGTGTATAATTAGTTTTTAATGAGATGGTAAAGCTCAGTGGGTTGGAGTGCCTAAAATCAGGACTTCAAATCCCTACAGTGCCACCCAGGAGAAGGACCAGCTGGGACAACTCAGAATATTCGTGGCTGATGGGGTTGTGTGCCCTGCCATCTGTGTCGCCATGAGCATGCTGCATAGTGCCAGAGCACCACCAGAAGGAGAGATTGGTTAACTATCTCTGAGTACTTTGTCCCTAGAAAGCCCTGGGAGGGTCACAATAAGTCAGAATCAAATTGACAGCACATAATTGATTACATTTTCTTACCTGCTTCATGGATAAAGTTTATTAGTGCTTTTCTTCTTCCTTTTTGATCCCTGTTTCCAGTAAGATCAGCCAAACCAGCAGGAATTGTTCACAAATGATAAAACAAACATTTTATCCACGTAGGTCTATTTAGACGTTTACTGGGAGCTCTCATTACATCTGTGGAACACCGCTTACACTGCATGAGTTACAAAGGCATCTGTGGACACATTCCACAGGCTTCGTCAAATAAATGAATCCTCATTAGTGCAGAAATATCCAGCTGGAGTGGATATAAGCACTGTATCCCTGTGTGACAGATACCTATAACTCTCTTTTGGTGAACTCTTTTTATTCTCTCATTTCTAAAATAAATGGGTCTGACTGTTACTCCCCCATGGATTGGATGCCACAATGTTTCCTCTCAGCAGAGGCAACAGGCAGAGAGGCCCAGAATATGCAACTGGATCAGGCAGAACAAATTCTTCCTGTTGGTTAAAGTTCTTGGTCATTGTAGTTCTCCCCAGTGCTAATGCTGGAGAACTCCAGGGTATGTCCTATATATCTAGAGCCATTTGCAATATCTGGCTTATATTTTCAGTCTACAAATGGCACTTATTTCTGATTCTTTGGTTCATGGTTGTTGCTTATTGCAGTCATCTCCTTAGTTTTATTTATTGTTGGAAAAGAAGGCTCTAATGATAAAATTTAGGTATTCACCTTAAAAAAAATCTGTCTGTAATATGCCCTCCTGCAGCATTCCAGTTATTAGTTTGAAGAATCATATGAATCATTTCCCCAGTTTTAAAAATCTGGAATCCCTGCTTCTATTTATCAATTTACCGACAACAGGCTTATGTTTAAATACTCCTACATGTAAACATTTTAAAAACTTGGCCAATCTATATAAATGCTTCTGTTTTCCCTCACAATTTTGCATCCCAGTAGGGAAGGAACTTCTTGTTTGGCCTTAAAATGTTGGCTGCTTTTGAAAATGACTTGAGAAACTTGTAACTTTGAAACTAATGAATGGAAACATCTGAGAACAAGTTAAAGCACTGTTCTGTTTAAGTGCCAAGCAGGAGTTATTAATAATGCATTAATTCCTGTTCCCCCTCTTTTTTTCTTAACATATTATATAGTTGACTCCATCTTAGCTCTGGTTACCTCAGCAGAACACATGCTGTCCAGGTGTTTACAGACTAGGACCCATATGATGGCAGGGTATGTTTTAATTATTTCACATGCAAAATGGGGGATGA